GGGAGCAAACCAGCCCAGAAACTGACTGCTCTTATATAGCCAATGCAGAGGAAATTTGGGAGACGAGGTGGCCGAGTGGTTAAGGCGATGGACTGCTAATCCATTGTGCTCTGCACGCGTGGGTTCGAATCCCACCCTCGTCGCAGTGCTGTGTTTTTGATGCCTTTTACCACTCATGAAGCTGGGCTCCTGCCTCCCTCAGCTCTACCTCCCGCACTGACACCCGCCATCTCCGTGCTGTCCCCTGCAGCTCTTTTTTGTCCACCCGCTGCCTCCTGCAGCTGCAGGGGCCCACAGTGCGAGGGCTGACCACAGCCAGGTGCTGCAGGGCCACCCCGGGGTGCTGTGGGTGTGGGCATGCAGGATGCAGGGCAGCAGGGCGCCATGGCTTAGCTGGTTAAAGCGCCTGTCTAGTAAACAGGAGATCCTGGGTTCAACTCCCAGTGGTGCCTGGCCAAGGGGAATGTTTTTCTCTCTCTCACACAGCTGCTCTCGCCTCCAGACCGCAGTCCAGGGCTGGGGGGCACTGCTGGGAACACCTGCTGCCCATTGCTCCCTGCTACAGCCCTGCACACCGGCACCGGGGAGACCTGGCCAAAGGGATTAAAGCAGAACCCAGCAGCGCATTCCAGCTGGCACTAGGTCCCTTGTTCAGGACACCTGGTAAAGGATCCCCTTCCCCCACCAGAAACGTTTGACAGAAAGTTGCTATTAGGGAGTAAGACGATAACTCTCCGGGAGAGGACGGTGCTGCCAAAAAGCTGCTCATCTGGTTGTGAAAGGGTGACGAGGTAGTTGCTTCTGGCAAGCGCATGCAGAAGAAATTGGAGAAGCAGCTTCCCTCAGTGGTGCCTTTTCCCGTTCCTACCTCAGCAGTCTCCTGAAAGGGATAAGGTGAAAGGCAGAGGCTGCATACCCCATGCCCGACATAGTGGGAGCCCAGCAATGGTCCTCAGAGGAGCTGCTGGTGCTTGCAATGTCCTGCACCTTTTGTTGCTCCTGGAAGAGGACCTAAGCGAGGAGTTGATTCAGTGCCTGCCCTCCCCACCCCCCAGAGAAGGGATTAGCCCTCTCTGGCAGCTAATCCAAGCTGTCCGACAGAACTGGCCACTCCAGGAAGGCCACGAAGCTCCCGCCACGTACCCCGTGCCAGCTTCACCTCCCTCATAGGACGGTGAGCAGGTATAAGAGCCCCACAGGGCAGTCCCAGGCATGCAGTCATGATGGGGTGGCCAGTCCTGCTGCTGCTGGTGGGTCTCGCTAGCGCTGCACCAGATTGGCAGGACTCGGGCTGGGGGTCCCATGCCACCTCCATCATAAGCGTGTCCAATGGGGGCCCATGGGGCGACTGGGCCTGGCCAGAGATGTGTCCCGAGGGCTCCTACGCCACTGGCGTCAGCTTCAAGGTAGAACCTTGGTAACAGGACGGGAGGCCAGGCTAGGGAGCTGGCCCCCACCACAGCTCATCTCCGTCCCCGGGCCCTCACAGGTGGAACCGCCGCAGGGAGTCGCAGGGGATGACACGGCACTGAATGGCGTCCGGCTCTTCTGCTCCCCACCAGGGGTCAGTGGCACCTCCTCCACGGTGGAGTCGCAGAGCGGCAGGTGAGACCAGAAAACCCAGGGGCCGCACAGGCCTCGTCTCCTTTCCTCCTCCCTATGGCCCCTGCTCCAATCCCTCTCCCCACACGTCTAGGTGGGGCCGCTGGTCGGAGCCCCGCTGGTGTCCCCACCGAGGGCACCTGGTGAGCTTCGCCCTGCGGGTCCAGGCGCCCCGGCGCCGGCTCCTGAGCGATGAAGTGGCCGCCACAAACGCCCGCTTCGCCTGCTCGGACAAGCACGTCCTGGAGGGACCAGGCACCGAGCAGGGCGAGTGGGGTAGCTGGAGCCCCCTCTGTCCCGGGGCTGTGTGCGGCATCCAGACGCGTCAGGAGTCTCCAGGGGGGCTGCAAAGTGACGACACCGCCCTGAATGACCTACGTCTCCTCTGCTGCAAGAAGTGAACCCCTGTCTCCCGCTGTGGGGACTTGACCAAGCCCCACAGCAGAGCCTTCACCCAAAAAACATCTCCCTCCAGCAACATCTCCCGTGGTGTCTTGTGAGGGGCCTGGTGTCCTCACGAAGTGCCTCTCCCTAAACCCAGGGGCTCCTCGTCCCACCCAGACTCAGTGTCCCTAGGACTGACCTCCTTCCTGCCCAAACGAGCCTGCAGTAAAACAAATCCTGGAGGCTCTGTTGGGATGTGTCTGGTAAGCTGATAGAGGGGCAAACTGTCCTCTTCCATATTTGTCTCACACTGCTCTTATATGGCAACCAGTAGCCTTGAGCTTAAATTCTGCAATGATTTTTTTTGACCAAAGAATAAAGAGAAATGAAAACCATCTCTTAGACTCATTCTTTAAAGGAGCTAGATGGGATTAAAACCAAGTGACGCATGGTACAGTCCTGAGGAGTTAAATGTTTTGGTTGATCCATCTGTCTCATCTCTAACCTGGGGATTTCTTTGCGTGGTTTCTTAATATCATGTTTACAGTATATGTTATACACTTAATTTAACATTTGTCAAAGGCACTCCCTATTTCTCTCAAAAAATATTTTCCTAAAGAGAGAAAAGTTCTGTTATCCTGAATCAAACTTGGCTGGTCTTACCTAATTTTGCTCAGATTTCTTTTGCATTAAATTTTTAAATTTGATGAATTTTCCTGAATCCAAACCTTAGATTTCACCATGAAACAGAAGTAAGAACAGGTTTTCCTTTGTGATAGTGGATATTATGTCAGGAAAATTGCTGCAAACCAGGGAGCTTTAAATGCAAAGAAATAAAAGTGCCCATATCCTTCAGGAAATACTTTGTTAGTCAGACAGGTTTATCCTGAAGTAGCATTTTCCATAAATATACCAAAATCTATATTGTGTGCTTCTAATATATATATTCTGTGTGCCCTGGCCAGGAGCATGTCACTCTCGGGGACATGATGGGGCCGTGGGAGACTCCTCATGGCTTCCCTCACGGAGCAGGTGCAGAGGGATGGGAGCCTGTGAGCAGGGCGGGGGGCGTTTCTGGCATTGAGATGCCCCTCTTCGGGCAGGGGCTGCAAGACCAATCTCCACGTTTCTGATGGGGGAAGGGGATCCTTCAGGTGTCCTGAACAAGGAACCTGGTGCCAGCTGGAATGCGCTGCTGGGTTCTGCTTTAATCCCTTTGGCCAGGTCTCCCCAGTGCCGGTGTGCAGGGCTATAGCAGGGAGCAAGGGGCAGCAGGTGTTCCCGGCAGTGCCCCCCAGCCCTGGACTGCCGTCTGGAGGCGAGAGCGGCTGTGTGAGAGAGAGAAAAGCATTCCAACTGCAGAGGCACCACTGGGAGTTGAACCCAGGATCTCCTGTTTACTAGACAGGCGCTTTAACCAGCTAAGCCATGGCGCCCTGCTGCCCTGCATGCCGCATGCCCACACTCACAGCACCCCTGGGGAGGGGGGTGCCCACTTTTCAAGCGAAGATGTCCTGAAAATAATAAAGACACCTTTCAGCCCTATGCAACCACTTCCTGGGGCAACAGGTAGCATTTAAACCCTGGGAAGCTGTACTGGAAACTCCTGGTACTGGAAAGCTCCTCCAGACAAACAAAAAAACGCAGGTGCCCCAAAGGGAAGCAGCCCTCACAAAACACGAGGATGGGGGTGGTGCTGCCTACCTGGGTTGAGACCACCAGAACAGGGCCTGTGCCAGGTGAGCAAGGGCTGGAGGTCAGGGGAGGAGGTGGGTGCTGCTCCCCGGCCTCCGCAGCAGCAGCAGCAGCGCAGCGGGTCCTGCTCCTCCGCCAGCCTGCTCGGCAGTGCTGCCCCTGCGCATGGCAGCGCGCAGAGCTCCACAGCTCTGCGGTCTGTGCAGACGCTGGGGTTCTCTCAGCAGCAACGCTTTGGAAGCCAGGAAAATGAAGCAGTAACAGGGGCTGGGCCAGATCCTGCTGCTTCACCAGTGCTGTGTGGTGAGCCGGGTGGCTGCCCCAGGGCAGATGGGGGCAGGGTCCCACACGCCCCAGGGTGCCACTGCCCAGGGCTGTGATGGCCGAGGGGTGAAGGCGTTGGACTCGAAATCCAATAGGGGTTTCCCTGCGCAGGTTCGAATCCTGCTCACAGCGAGAGGTTTTACTTTGGGGGAGTCGAGGGCTTGAGATGAGGCCTCCAGTTGGGGCTGTGGGGTGTCCTAGGCTGCAGAAGGACCTCAGGGAGAATCTGAGCTGGAAAAAAGGGGGGCCAAGGGGGACCAAGGCTGCCCCAGCTCTGCCTCCCGCGGCCTGGGCAGGTGCTCCTGCACAGGGAAACCCAGACCCTAGCGGGGATGCAGTCTCTGAGAGAGCTCCAGGGCACAAGGGGGTCTTGGCTCTTTTCAGAGTGTTCAGCCCCCTAGGTTTCCAATTTTTAGAGGGCTGAGGAAGTGGCAGCCAAGGGTGAGCAGCCAGGCAAAATAAGTCTCCAAGGGGATGCAGTGGGGCATAGGGGCCACTCAGGCATGGTGAGGTGCCTGCACGCTTGGGAAGATATAGCACCCCTGGGTGCAGGGAGCCGGTTTTTCTGCAGACGCTGGCAAGGGAGCTGTGCAGCACTGGGGCTGTGTCAGCCCGGTGCTCCGGGGAGGGACGGGAGCAGAGTGGGGCAGGCGCCCAGCTGTGCCACCCCGGCTCGTTGGTCTAGGGGTATGATTCTCGCTTCGGGTGCGAGAGGTCCCGGGTTCAAATCCCGGACGAGCCCTTCTTTTAGGCCCTGCCTGGCCTGCTTTTCCCTGCCTGGGGCAGAGCTGCTTTGGGCCCCTTCCTCCAGCTTTCAGCTGCCCACGCTTCTCCTTCATCATTGCCCCACATTTGTTTGGGCCACTGCACCCTAGGGTCCTGCTCCTACTGTGCCTACACCCCAGGCAGCAGGGCAGGGGCTCCAAGCTTGGGCAGCAGCCATGGACCAAAGTCTCTGAGCACAGGGGCTGCATGTGGTGGGCAGCAGTGCCTGGAGGGCAGAGACAGCCCAAGGCAGGGGGATGTAGCTCAGTGGGAGAGCGCTTGCTTTGCATGTAAGAGGCCCTGGGTTCAAGCCCCAGCATCTCCACACACTTTTCCACACAGCGCTGCCTTGATGCTGAGAAAGTCTCTGTGTTTTGTGACCTTAACCCATGGGCAGCACATCCCTCCTGGCCTTTGCAGGGACCAGGCTAACCCCCGGGATAGGCCTGTGCCCAGTGCTCCTTCTCTGTGCCAGTACGACCCTTGGCAACTGGACAAAACCATGGCTAGGAGGGTTCACCTGGGGATGAACTAGAGACATGTCTAAAGGGAGAGTCATGTCCCTCAGCCCGCGAGCCAGGATGGCACAGCCTCGAAACAAGGGTGGGTGCTGGCAACACCTTCTGTGACTCCCAACACCTGAGGTGTTGCTTTTTGGAGAAAGGCTCTGACCTGGGGAGCCAAGTAGGGCCATGGCCAGCCAAGAGGCTTTTCCATTTGCCAGAAACCTGGCTGGCAATGAAGGGCCAGGTAGGGATGCCCTAAGCCCAGGAGCACAGGGTGCAGCACTCCATAGCCACAGGGCATAGCAGCAGGTTTTACCTGCAAATGCTCCTGTAGGAAGGATGAGGCCACCCAAAACCATCAGTGCTGGGACCCACCAGGGTCATGTTGGAGCTGGGGGCAGGAGGCCACCAAGTGCTTGTGCTGGGCTGGGAGGGGGTGAAGGTGCCAACCTGGCTCGTTGGTCTAGGGGTATGATTCTCGCTTTGGGTGCGAGAGGTCCCGGGTTCAACTCCCGGACGAGCCCTCCTTTTGGGCAACACCACCTCCACATGAGGCCAGCTGCCCTGGCAGGACCCAGCAGAGCCCATGTGACGCCACTACATGACACAGCTGCAGACCATGGGCAGGAAGGGTGCAGGTTAGGCAGGCTGGTGCATCCCGGGAGAGGACTCAGAGCCAGGAGGGATGTGCCACGTGTGGAAAGGGGACACCAGGCACCCCATGTACTCACCCCACTGCCTGCAGCTCCTGGCAGGGGGACAGCAAAAGAGCCCTGGGGATTCTCCAACACCTTATACGTGTCTGGGAAGAAACCTGCAGCACATATGTTCCTTTCCCACCAGGGCAGCTGCTCTTTTTGTAAGGAAAAGTGTGTGGAGATGCTGGGGCTTGAACCCAGGGCCTCTTACATGCAAAGCAAGCGCTCTCCCACTGAGCTACATCCCCCTGCCTGGGGGCTGCCTGTGCCCGCCGGGCACTGCTGCCCACCCCTCTCGTGGTACCTGCAGCCCCGCTGCTGCTGTGGAGCTCTGTGCGCTGCCACACACAGGGCAGCGCCACTGAGCAGGCTGGCAGAGGAGCAGGGCCCTCTGTGCTGCAGCTG